CCTACAACAACTGACCACTGACAGTCCTACAACAACTGACCACTGACAGTCCTACAACAACTGACCACTGACAGTCCTACAACAACTGACCACTGACTATCCTACAACAAATGACCACCGACTGTCCTGTGACAAATGACCACTGACTGTCTTACAACAACTGACCACCGGTTGTCCTGCAACAAATGACCACTGACAGTCCTACAACAACTGACCACTGACTGTCCTACAACTGACCACCGATTGTCCTACAACAACTGACCACTGACTGTCCTGTGACAAATGACCACTGACTGTCCTACAACAACTGAACACTGACAGTCCTACAACAACTGACCACCGACAGTCCTACAACAACTGACCACTGACTGTCCTACAACAAATGACCATCTACTGTCCTGTGACAAATGACCACTGACTGTCCTACAACTGATCAATGACTGTCCTACAACAACTGTCCTACAACAACTGACCACCGATTGTCCTACAACAACTGACCACTGACTGTCCAGTGAGAAATGACCACTGACTGTCCTACAACTGATCAACAACTATCCTACAACAACTGTCCAACAACAACTGTCCTACAACAAATGACCATCTACTGTCCTGTGACAAATGACCACCGACTGTCCTACAACTGATCAACAACTGTCCTACAACAACTGTCCTACAACAACTGTCCTACAACAAATGACCATCTACTGTCCTACAACAACTCACCACTGACTGTCCTACAACAAATTACCACTGACTGACCTGCAACAACTGACCACTGACTGTCCTACAACAACTGACCACTGACTGTCCAGTGACAAATGACCACTGACAACTGTCCTACAACTGATCACCAACTGGTCTATAACAACTGAGCACTGACTGACCTGCAACAAGCCTCCACCAAAGCCTTCTCATCAGGCGAGCTGGCCTGGTAGTCATACTCCTCGCCTGTGGCGCTGTAGATGCTGGACGCCCCATTCTGACCGTTATTAGCCTCCTGCTTGCGGTCAACCCGCACCGTGTGACACAGGACCAGCACACGGATGAACCGGTTCATCTCGTCCTGATAGGCAAATAAAATGATTGAAAATGTTTCTTTAGTTTTAGTAAAAGTGTTACAGTACTTGCAACACAATAAGGTCATATAAGTGACGGAAATTAGAGGTGTTACAAGAGAGCAACAAAACACAAAAAAGAAAGTGGAGTGATCAGGACAATAGATGTTTGGTAGTGATAGGAAAGCAGCAGCAAGCCATACCAAAGCACCCGCCAACTAACCACGAAAATGTTTCATGCCCCCTTTGGCACAGTTGAGGTAATCAAAGAAGCCAACTTTTTGTTTTAGTAAGCGTTTTACAGAGTTTGAAACACAATTTAGTCAAATTAGCGCTAAAGGTTAGAGGAGTTACAAGAGAGTAGACAGACAGACAAACAGACATACAGACATACAGACAGACAGACAGACAGACAAACAGACAGACAGACAGACAGACAGACAGACAGACAGACAAACAGACAGACAGGCAGACAGAAAGACAGACAGACAGACACAGACACACTGTGACTTGTCAACATTACATCATTTTCAATAGACTCTACTAACAAAAACTATTCCTTCCACTTGCCTCACTCAACAAGACCATATTTCCCCAACAAGATGCTGTCAATGAAAACAAAATCATTCCCTTTTAGTTTTGGCATAGATTTTTACGGCACTCGCAACTGCATACGGTCATATGAGAGCCAGAAGGTTAGAGGTGTTACAAGAGGGTAACAAACATAAAAAAGAAGAAGGGGAGATAAGGACGATAGGTGTTTGATAGGAAAGACGGAGCAAACCACACCAGAGCAACCGCCAACCACCCACAAATCATTCCCTCTACAAGGCACTTTCAATGAGACAATATGTGGGACATCATGGTGAAATCAGGCGCTTGTCAAAATAATTAAATTGAAGAAAACAGCATTTTTCTTCCCGTATGTCAATTTTTTTACTGAATTCTTATTTTTTTTAGCTCAACACTTTTAATGTCTATTTAAAACACATTGCGGTGTGGCTTTTACTGAAAAAAATTGAGGTCCAAAAAATGAAAATTTACAGTTTCGAGGGCCTCTCAAATGTTGAAAGTCACCGAACTTTGGTGGCCATTTTCTCTCTAATTTTACCTCAGAAACCAGGTGACCCCCACCTCCTTCAACACAAAATATCTTGGCTTCTATTGAAGAAAGATGGGTAATCTTTTCATAGAAAGGAACAAGCTTGAAGATGATACCAATTACTCCATATGCCCCAAAATTGACAAGTACCTGATTCCACCACGTCATGACACATATTTCCTCTACAATACGCTCTCAATGAGGCAATATGTCCTCTATCAGACTCACAGTGAACGTGATGTCTTTCTTGGGGGCCATCTCTGGATGCACTCGCTCACAAAAGGTACCGTCCACGTCCTGAAATTGCCGGCTGCCGATGCAACAATGGCGGAACTCCATCGTGTTCTCCGTCAGAGTCCCAGTCTTGTCCGTGAACAGATACTCCACCTGACCAACATCAAATGTACTAAAGTAAGTTATGGTTTTTAGCTTAAACAAAAGTTTTACGGTACTTGCAACACCATTAGGTCATATAAGTGCCAAAGATTAGAGGCTCTGTTTGCACGAAAAATAATCAGTGTCGCTGACTTCTCGATTAAGTCTCCAATCCATCGTTATAAGAAACAAACACAAAATAGAAGGAGAGCTAAGGATGATAAATGTTCAATAGGAGCTAAGTAGCAGCAATAAATCTTATTAGATCCATTGAAGCTGAGACTGATCAGTTTCATTGAACTGCATTTTCTGTTTACACGTTTCAATTTATTGTCCAACTGAATTTTAAGGTGGGAGATTTCTCTTCCTTGCGTATGAAAGCCGAAAAGATTCTTCACAATGACAGTGCTTCATTTTAAAAAGAATTCTGCGTCCAAGCTTACGTCTAAAAATAATCTGACTCTGTTTGCATGAAAAATAATCAGTGGTGCTGACTTCTCGATTAAGTCTCCAATCCATCGTCAAATTTGTATACAACTTTGTGGTAATACGTAACAATTTGTCTAAAAAACGGAAGAGCGTTGAATTTTGGTACAACTTATCATTACGTGTAACCCGGCCTTCAATGACCATTATTGTGTAAATATTTTAGTTTTAGTAAGAGTTTTACACCACTTGCAACACAATAAGGTCATATATGTGCCAAAGATTAGAGGTGTTACAAGAAAGTAGTAACAAACACAAAAAAGAAGAAGGGAAGATAAGGACGACAGATTTTTCATAGAAAAGAAGGACAAGACATACCAGAGCACCCGCCAACCACCCACACTATGTAAACCCGTTTCTGTACACTCAAATAAATAGCTTTTTTTTTCATTACAGCACTATCAACACAGGAAACAAATAGCAAAATAGCAAAAAAGAAAACATACAATAAAATGGGGAACAAAAGTTGTGGGAGACTCACCTGTCCCAGTTCCTCATTGAGGTCTGATGTGTTGGCAAGGGCTCGCTCGTCGATGCTCTCATCATACATCTTAACATCAAAACCAAAGAAGATGGAACCTAAAAACTTTTGTAGCTCTGAGGAGTTGAGAAAAAAACCCAAGGTACACTCAGCTCAAGCCAAAGGACGAAAGAATAAATGCGTAAAGTTTATTGTGATTCACAACCTTTGACCTAGGCATCCTGAAAAGATTTCAATCAATGAGAAGCAAATTGACAAAATTAAAACTTTTAAAACTGCCATAGCACGAGACAAAGAGAACTGGTAAAATGTCTCATCTGTATTGCTGACATGGACAGATATCCAAAGCGTGTAAATGTACAGATATTTTGTCAGTGCATTTCCTTATCAGTGTGTGGAGCATTCTGATACTTTCGAAAAAATGTGAAAAAAATTTTGTATTAGTCTAATATGCGTTTAAGCCTCTTGATTTTTACAATTTATATTTAAGTTGTCATGAATTATTGATGCAAATTAAAATGTGAGAGCTGATTTTTTAGATTGTGCTTAGGTAAAATGCCTTTAAGACCGGAGTTTCATATTTTGTTCCATACGCAATGACGATTCAAATCAACATACAGAGACAAATTTGAGATTAACTGAAGTTAGCTTACCTATAGTGACATACAGTGAGATGGGAATTATGTAATTGTACAGCACCATGAAAGCCAGGGCGTTCTCCAACACTTTTGTGGGCTGTAGAAGGAAAAGCATACAGATCGTTGGCAACCTATTCAACTGTTTTAAGCCCAGAAAGCAACACATTTTTCAGGAGAGGGAAGAACAAATATTTTATTCCTTCAGAAATTGTATCTAAATCTTACATCTTTTCTTTTTTTTCCCATCACATAGAATTTAAATTTCAACAAAATATTTTTTAAAAACCCAAATATTTATTCCTTCAGAAATTGTACCTAAATCTTACATCTTTTCTTTTTTCCCCATCACATAGAATTTAAATTTCAACAACATTTTAAAAAACCCACAAATATTTTATTCCTTTAGAAATTGTACGTAAATCTTACATCTTTTATTTCTTTCTCCCCCCCCCCCCCCATTCAAATAGAATTTAAATCTCAACAAAATATTTTTAAAGCACATGTTATCGATACCACAGATGATGAGACTGGCTATTTGATTAACTTTCAGAATACTGTCAAAAAGAAAACCAAAACAGTTTGTTAAGTATAGCTAATGACAAAATAGTGTATGTAAGCGGATTAATGAGTATAGGGAGGGAGGGAGTGGGAGTATGGGAGAGAGTGGGAGAAGGGGAAGGAGTGGGAGAAGGGGAAGGAGTGGGAGAAAGAGAGGAAGAGAGAGAGAGAGAGAGAGAGAGAGAGAGAGAGAGAGAGAGAGAGAGAGAGAGAGAGAGAGAGAGAGAGAGAGACAGAGAGTGACAGAGACAGAATGATACAAAGATACAGAAAGAGAGAGAGAGAGAGAGAGAGAAAGAGAGAGGGGGAGAGAGAGAGGGAGAGTGAGAGAGAGAAAAAGGGAAAGAGAGAGAGACTGAGAGACAGACAGACGGAAAGATAAAAACCTTTCCCTTGTTGCTCTCCTCCGGGACATAGTCCAGGTCCCCGTGAACATCCTCGTACCAGTACTTGAGTCCCGTGGAAACAATTATCTCAACAAGCAGAATCACCAGGAACACAATCAGGAATGTATTCATCTTCCTATAGGAGCAATAAAACAAAAACAGGACGCCGGTAAGCCTTTCAAATTTTCCAAGCCTAGAAGGCAAAACTTTTCAGGAGAGAGGAAAAACTTTTTCAATTTTTTTACAAATTGTTCCTACGTTATGTACCTTTTCTTGGGGTTCTTTTTGAATATTTAGAATTTGAACTTCAACCAACTACTTCACCACTATATACAACCAATACCAAAGATAAAGAAAAGAAATCTTCAAAAAACTTCAAAATTTAAGGCTTAGGACATCTGAACAGCTGGCTCACTATGAATAATTAGTGGGTGTGGGGTGGGGGTTGTGAAAGAAATAGGCGAAAGAATTAGGCGGTATATATCCTGTCAGTTCCTCAAGATACCCTGTCCCCTCACCCCGACATCCTTCTTTTTAAATTAAGTTTTGAGAGCAGAAAATGAAGTTAAACACACATATCGTGCCACTCCAGATGAATCCTTTAGTCACATCAAACAAAGAGATCAGAGCAACACTTTACCTCTCAACTTGGGAAAATTTGGTTTGCTTGAATTTAGAATTCAGGGCCATCTTTGTCTCTTTCCCTGTATATAATGCACACCCTGAAACAAAATGACGGACATAGTGAGGAACAAGATAACACAATTACACCACAGAAATCAGAAAAGAAATCAATTTCCATCCTCTTATCCTTCCATAACCAAAAAGAAATCAATTTCCATCCTCTTATTCTTCCTCAACCAACCCCCCTCCCCCCACAAAAAAGCATGACAACAACAAAAAAACAAACAAACCCAAAACCCCTGAAAACAAACAGTGGCTTATATCATAATCTGTTGTACAGCACATTTGAAGGTAAAAAATAATATAAGACATAAAAAAGCATATTACGTATTTTTTAGAAAATTGAAATGCCCAGGATGAATGCTATTTGGTATTATTAATATCATTAGATTTGATGATGTAACTTCCCTACCTGGGATCCGATCTCACATCTTCTGTCTGTGTGCGATAGTGAAACGCCTAACTATTAAACCACAGACACTGGTAATCTGCATTGACAATGGTATCCCGACAACAGCCAGTATAGCAGCCCTAAAACATGTACAGTTTTTAATAAGAACTACTCCTTTACCGAAGATATGTTCAGTGTTCTTAAGGCGGGCACCACGCAGCAACAAGTTCTCAGGCCCCAACGGTTTGGCCTGGTTCTCTGTGCTGATGGCTTCAAGGACACCCTCGAATGTGTACAGGTCAGCCAAGGGCGGTTTGCCTGTGATGCGAGCTCGCAGCTCTCCAAGTTCTTCAGGAGACCTGAAGCGTCGCGTGTCACTGAGGCAGAACAGCGTCTGGGGGTGTGAAATGATGTACCATTAATGAAATAACATATACTGTCTGTGTGTAGTGGTGACATATCTCTCTCTCTCTTGCCCTTTTTAACTCCCAGTGGAGCACAGGCCATCAACAACATTACTGCAGCGAAGCCTATCCTGAGCATCCTTTTCTATCTGTTTCCCTGATGTCCCCGCTTTTTCAATTTCCGCTTGTACCGCTCGCCTCCATGTCATCTTTTGTCTTCCCTTCTAACGCTTTCCTTGTGGGTTCCACGTTTAAGCCTGCCTGATGATGCTTGTCGGAGGTCTCCTCAGTGGTGACATATACTATCCGTGTAATAATATTATATACTAAAAGTGTAATGATATATACTATTAATGTAATGACATACTATCAATGTGGGCTTTCAGCTTCTTTTGAACCTGTGGAGATCTGGCCGGTAAGGAAAACACAGCACTGAAGTAAAATGTTGGTCATAAAAATCAGTACCACTGAGTCAAGAGGGAAAGACGGATGTTGACCAGAACAAATCTTACAGAAAATTTACACAGCAAGCCATATTTTCTTTACAGAGCGTCAACAACATATCATTACAAAAATCTCCTTTGGCACATGAGTACAGTAACTATCATTTAAACAAGGCCAACTTTTTGTTAGTGCTAATTCATCGGCTTTTAATTGCATTTCATGCACTGTGATGTATAACAGGTAATTAATGTCATCCGCAACATCTAAACCTCGCAAATGTGTGCCAATTTGTCCATCTAATGCCGGTTTCAATGTCTTTGCTCTGGTTTTGTTTTGTTTTGTTTTGTTTTGTTTTGTTTTTAAAGAGAGTGTCAGGGCACTTGCAAATTAAATAGGTCACAATATAAGTCCTGAATATTGGAGGTGTTACTACTAAAGTGTAAAAAAAGAACCCCCCCCCAAAAAAAAAAAAAAAAAAAGAAAAAAAAAGAAGGTGAGATAAAGATGATAGAATCAGATGCTTGAAAGGAAAAAAAGGAGCAAACACATCAGAGCGCCTGCCGCCCACCCATTCTTAATCTTGACTGAACTGAAATGTATAACCCTTGAAGCCCTGAGACTTGCAGAACACAAGAACCTGAACTCCTTTGGGTTGATTTGCTAGATTTACACTCTCGCACACAGAGGAGTGCATTCTCTGCACAGAAGGGATAAGCTAGAGTATTTTCATTTCAGTAGAGGTTTTACAGCGCTCGCAATTGCATAAGGTCATACGAGTGCCAGAAGATTAGCAGTGTTTCAAGAGAGTAACAAACAAAAACAAAAAAGGAGGGGAGATAAGGACGATAGATGTTTGATAAGAAAGAAGAAGCAAACCACACCAGACTACCTGTCAACCACCCACAGAGTATTCTCAGGCATGCTCTCTGGAACGTTAAGACAAAGAAATAAGGAAGTTACCTTGAGGTTGGTCTCCCCATCCAGGTTGGCCGTGGTCACGTAGCACAAACCTTGAGGGTCGGCCGAGGAGAGAAGCACCAAGTCGCAGGGAAACTCTTCATTCTGATACACCTTCACGATATCCCCGACCTGAGATCAGACAATATTATGTTCTTTTAGTTAGTAGTTTCAATTAGAGTGTTACCACACTTGCAACACAATAAGGTCATTATCATCATCATCCGGTGCCTTGCCGACTGGCGTGGGCGATCATGGACCTCCACTTCACTCTGTCTTGCATTGCAGCAATGGTATCTGTTGTTCTTGCTGCTCCTAGCAATGTTGTCATCTTGTCCAGTATCTTTTCCCTCTTTCTGCCTCTGCCTCTCTTTCCATCAAACTTGCCTGTTGTCACAATATTCTCCAATGCTTCTTTCCGCATTGGGTGCCCGAAGAAATTTGCCTGTCGCTTTCATATATTCATCATAAGCTGTCTTCTGCAATCAGCTTTAACCAAGACTTCTTCATTTGTTTTTCTAGCTGTCCATCAGATACGTGTTAAAGATTAGAGGTATTACAAAAGAGTAACAAATACAACAGAGAAGGAGGAGAGATAAGGGCGACAGATGTTTGATAGAAAACAAGGAGCAGACCACACCAGAGTACCTGCCAACCACCCGAATTAAAAAAAAAAGTTAAAGTATTTTAAATAAAAGCTTTAAAAAGCGTTTGAAGCCTTCAAGACTTAGAGAGCTGGAGCTCATATTGGTGGAGCTGAGCTTTAGTTTTCAGAGAATCAGCACGACTGTACTCATATTTAGTGAGGAAAAGACAAGGGAAAAGATCACAGAAAAGAAAAAAAAAAGAGCAGACCACACTACAACTACCACCACTTCATTTTACAATACACATACACGAGACATTGACTTTTCTGTGTTTGTGCGTGAAACCTGGTTCTTTGTTGTAACTGAATGGTAGTTATTGCGTCATCTAATTTATTCATGAACTCTAACAAGTTGTTTATGCAAACTATGTGCGTTAATGACTATTCAAAAACAAGGACAACCTTTTCACTCACAAACATTTGTGAATCCCATAGCCATTATAATGATCAGTTTGTGTAGAAGAAAAAGAAGTACTTCCAGACATTATCAAACAATTCCCCCCCCCCCCACACCAACACACAAGCTCTTTTATAAGAAAAAAAAAAGAACATAAATAGTCCAATGAGAATTGGAAATTCAATATGCAGATTTTACAGCCTACTAATCAAAAAGTGGCTTGATATTTTTCTTCTCCCTGCTGGCCATTTCAAAAGCATAATGAGTATTAATTCGCCTTTTGAAATTACACTTTCTGAGCAACTTAATAATACATTTGTCATGACACATGCAGGGAGTGCAGTGTTTTGGATTTTTTTTTTTTCAGATATATAAAAATACCAGGGGGCTTACGCTGCATTTTTGCCCCCTTCCCACATATGTTTGACGCAATACTGCACATAATTAAGACGCTCTGAAGGCAACCAATAAGCTCAGTGGCGGGAGCAAAGAAAGAGTAAGAAGGAGGGAGGGAATGTAAATAGAAATTTTGTACCAAAGTAAATATCAAAGCTGAGGACACATTAATGTTACTCATTAGAACAGAAGCACTTTCTGTAAACGAGTAATGGTTTATTCTGCTAATAACCTCTCCCCCCCCCCCAACCCAGTAGGGGGTGTTCATCCAGGTCAAAATGATGGCAAATGGACCTGAACTTACATGGGAAATATTGAGGTTTAGCTCAATGAAGTCCAACATGAAAGGGAAAAAGAAACTGAAAGCTTGCGTTTAATACTGTGAAGTATGCGCATCATTCTACTTAGATATGATCATAATGATATGTACATCATTAAAACCATTAATTCTTTACAGAGTTTATTAATATTGACTATCATTTTCTAAATAATGTAATTCAAATATTTGCTCCTCTCCATTTTTTCTCCCTAGGTAGTCACATATAAATGAAACTGTCATGTCACAGCTGTTGAAATTGAGAGCTATCTAGAAGAGCTCACGGAAGGAGGGTGGGAGGGGGTAGAGTTGGTGGGAGGGGGTAGAGTTGGTGGGAGGTGTGTGTATGATGGAGAATAGCTGAGAATTGGGAACAAATATATTGTCTATGGCAAGGAATGAAAACCTGCTAAGTCATTAAAAATTTGAAATACATTCTTTTTTTGAAAGTCTACTCATAACCTATAGCTCTAAACACATGTCAAATTTTTCGCTAAAAGTGACAAATGAAGAGGAAAAAATCACCAGAGAGAAACCTGACATCTCACCACTCATAAAAAAATGGTTTTGAAGAATTGCCAAGCCATTTTGAAAAGTGACGCACGACAGAGTGCTACACTTCTTATGCAGTCAAAATATTAGGTGTTTTCAAATGGTAGGTTTTCGTACCACATTTCCAAAAAGAAAATTTGCTAAGCAATTATATAATATACTAAAATATTACGATTTTGTTAGAAATGCTCATATAAATATGTCTCAAATGATAATCTATTGTATGTTACAGGTACAATTTGTTACTTTAGGCCTGATATACATATTGAAATAATCATTTTTTTTCTTTTTGTTGTGAAATTCACCAGCCCCTAAAATCATAAATATAAAAAAAAGCTATGTTAACTCTTCAATCTAAACAAAAATAAATAAAAAAGCAAACTATCTCAATTCAGTCTAAAAATCTTCATATTGACTGCTTAGTGAAAGACTCTGTCAAACATCACTTTTCAAAATGGTACATATAGTTATGTGAGTGTGTGTGTGCATGTGTGTGTGTATGCGTGTGTGTGCATGCGTGCATGTGTGTGTGCGTGCGTACATGTGTGTGTGTGTGCGTGTGTGCGTGTGTGCATGTGTGCGTGTGTGTGTGTGTGCATGCGCGCGCGTATGTGTGTGTGTGTGTGTGTGTGTGTGCGTGTGTGTGTGTGAGAGAGAGAGAGAGAAAGAGAGTGTTTGTTGGAATGGGCAGGTACCACATATTTGTGCAATGTGTTGACAGCAGCATGATATGACCTAGCACACACCTGTCAGTACGAAAGACTGGTTTCATGATTCCTGTGCTCTTAGAACCCTCATGAACTCTACTACAAAAACAAAAATTAGGCTTAGCACTATAATTAACATTATTATTAATTACTATCAGCAGAGGCAGCCGCAGTTGTGCTATTATTGTCAATAGCAATTTCTACCTGCCTCCCCAGACATCGGAAACACTCTATACAGCGACAAAGCACAGCTGATTAAAACCTGTCAATTCTTTGCCATATCGACAGACCGAAGGACTAGAACCCAAATGGCCGCTGGATCGGAAAAGTAAAGTAAAGTAAAGTAAAGTAAATAGCAATTTTAAAAAACAACAAACAAAAAACCCCCCACCAATAATGATAGACAAAGCTCAACTATAGCTGCTATTTCCTGCCTATGACTCTTACTAATAATTACCCCCGAAGTCGGTAACTTGAAACAACTATTTTTGCTATTTCATTTTCCTGTCTATAGGCCAACTATAAAGCTTATAAATTACTCACTCTTGAACTTTTATTGATTCAAACGAAACAAACCTTAATGTCCATAGCCCGGCAATCAGTCTGAGCTTTCCCATTTCTAATGACCGTGGCTGGTCTGAGGTTGACTTCATTGTCGGCAACGTGTCGCAACCAGTCCTCATAACCCTGTCATGTATAGGATATAACAGTAGGAGTGAAAACTTTGAAACGAGCAGCTACAATTGTTAGTCAAGTTATAGATGGTGCTTTCTTAGATAGGCCTACTCAAAATGTACCATGTTCCCACATATATATGTTGCCTTTGCTTGTATACACACTTTTATAGTGACTTATAATGCAATAATGAAAAAAACATAAATAATGGTAATATTGAAAACTGAAAAGCAATTTTTAACCTCTGCTTATTCCTTCTTATCCAACACGTGAACATAACATTGACAGAAACATTCAATTACCCCCTCTCTTTACACATACAAACACCACAAGCCACACACTCGAGGGAGAAAAAAAAACAATCCAAAAAAATTACCCGTTCTTCTACATGTCTGAAAGTAAAAATAGAAAATAGTAAACAAAAACTAGCAACACATCCATCTCTCCCCCCCCCCTACCCCCCCTACCACCAACTAAACCAACGGCTCACCTGTTTAATGGCAGTGACAGATATGACAAAGACCAGTGGTAGCACACTGGTCAACGGAGTGACGGGCGTGTCGATCATGAACTGAAATATACAATTAAAAAAAGGCGTCTTAGACTTATTCACTTTAGACCAGTCATCCTCTCAGGACAGAGAAGGTGAAAACATTGTGGGTGAAGAATCAAGTAGCAAAGCAAGGAGCCGAATAATTATTGCACATAAGAAACTTATTCATTTTCAATGTGTGGAACAGACATCAGACTGGAGCAAACAAAATAAAGCTGCAATGGTCAGTAACAAACACATACCCAGCCGAGATGAAGCAGAACAAATTGCCTAGAGCTGACTGGACAAGACAGAGGTTTTGCACTGCATAGGGCCGAAACTCAGGCACCACAAGTGGTGGATAAGTAGCTCAAATTTACAACCATCCAGCATTCAGTTTGCCCTAGCAAGCAGCAAGACCAAACACTTTTACCCACCGACAATGGACTTTTGTCGATGACTTGCTGGTAATCAAAACTGTTCTGTCTCCTGTGTTCCTAAATAGAAAGAGAGTTTGGTACTCTTTAACTTTCCCTCCCGTCTGACACTTAGCTATCAGTTGTCCATTTTCTACTACATATTGATATGCTGAACACGAATATCAATTTCATTTCCGTCGCAAATTAATTGTTTTGAAATATTTGATTGTTCTTAATCGAGCTTTATCACTCTACGCCTTACCGCGTAGTAATTTGTGTGCTTTGGACCAATAGGGGGTTTCAGGGGGGGGGGGCGGGGGGCTGCTCCCCTGTGGTAAAAAGAATATCTGGGGGGTTACAGGGAGGCATGATCCCCCCTTTTAACCAATAATTTAATATTTTACAGTTAGCTTTGAAATCTTCTAGCAAATAATTGATTTGCGACAGTTTCAGTGGCTTTATGTGTGATCTGCAGCAAACAATATTGCAGTCCGACCCAGAAAGCAGTGCATCTGTGTGCAGGAGAGAAAGTAACAATTTACCGACAATTTTTCATATAAACTGGTCTGGTACTGATCATGGGAGTGCTTTCCTTCTTTTTTTTGGATCAAGCCAAATCCCCCCCAACACCGGCTTTGAAAATGGAAAGCTGTCTCCACCAGTTTTTCTATATTTGGATGAGCGTGACCAGCTATTCATTTATCAGACTCAAAAGGCACAAAATTACACACATGGCTTTCAACTTTACAAAACCACATAAAAGGCTCTACCCATATTAGTTGGGTCAAGATGGTGGAGGGCATTGGCCAAGTAATCCCCTCCAAACTTCTCACAAATACTTATCTGCATTCAACATTCAAATTTTTCGGATTAGACTACGTGCTACAAGGATCTGTTCAACTGACTTATGGGCTTCGTTTTCATTATTATTCACAAATCCGGTCTTGAAAGTTCACATTTTTCCTTCAACATCAGCAAGTCATGAGGAGCAATATTAGAATTTAGAAAACAAGGTATATATATATTTTCGGATACTAAAATAGATTCTCGGACCCTCAAAAACATATGTCACACTAAGAACTGAAACAGTACAAAGGGATGATCAGGCCCTTCACGTGAATTACTGTAAGTAATGAGAGCCTTCTCATGGATACTCAACAATCAATAAGCACTCCAAAAAATATTTTAAAATTAAAATTAAAAAAATAAATCAAAGAAACATAATTTTTTTTTCTTAGTAGAGGTTTTACGGCGCTCGCAACTGCATAAGGTCATATGAGCGCCAGAAGATTAGAGGTGTTACAAGAGAGTAACAATATAAAAAAGAAGAAGGGGGGGATAAGGACGACAGGTGTTTGAAAAGAAAGAAGGAGCAAACCACACCAGAACACCCGCCAACCACCCACGAAACATAACTCACCTGAATAACTCCAACACACAAAAAGTAGAAGTTTGCTATCCTCCGAAATTGTTCGAACAGATTTTTGGGCAGAAACGTCAGCAGAGTGTACTGTAGATACAAAGGATATCAACATGTAGAAAACAGAGGTGAGTTTTGACGTGAAATTAAACGTGTTTTTTCTTTTTAAGTAAGAGTTTTACGGCACTTACAACACAATAAGGTCACATAAGTGCCGAAGATTAGAGGTGTTACAAGAGAGTAACAAACATAAAAAACGAGGGGGAAAGATAAAGACGACAGTTGTTTGATAGGAAAGAAGGAATTAACCACACCAGAGCACCCGCCAATCACCCAAAAATTAAACATATTTGGTGAGCAATGGCAGAGTGCAGAGTGTTAAAAAAGGGAAAGGAAGAAGGGGGGGGGAGGGGGGGGGAAGAGAGAGAGAGAGAGAGAGAGAGAGAGAGAGCGGAATCTGAGTAGAAATAAAAAGAAGCACATTGACAAGATAACGACCACTAATAGCAATAGAAAAGCCTCCCCCTCCCCAACCCCTTTTCAAAATCACGCTTTTTGGCGCACGAGAGAAAGAGAGAGAGAGAGAGAGAGAGAGAGAGAGAGAGAGAGAGAGAGAGAGAGAGAGAGAGAGAGAGAGAGAGAGAGGCAGAGAGAGAGGGAGAGAGAGAGAGAGAGCGAGAGAGAGGGGGGGGGGGAGAAGCGCAAGTCTTATATGAGTACAGTATAACATCGGCTAGAACGAACAATTTACAGTTCAGTAACCACAATTAAATGTCATTACAATTACCGCAAGCATAGGAGCTTTACTTTCACCACTATACGTAGTATCGTATTTCCGATATTATGATTATTGATCATTGCTCAAACGACCATGTGGGAGATTGAGGGCGCCACTGGTAGGTCCTCCATCTTTACTTACCCTCTGTTCGTCTGTCCATCTGTCTGTCTTTCTGTCTGTCCGTCCGTCTGTCTGACTGTCTGTATGTATGTCTGTCTTACATTTTCCCAGCACTAAAATGACCATTATCGAATCAATGTGCTTCTCTTTTCTCAAAAAAAACCCAAAAATCAAACGATCATCTCCTACATAATCGAGGTAGTGTCGATGCGTGCGTAAAACAGTTTCAAATTTACAATTTCAGAAATAAACCTTTAACTGAGAAGAGGTGTCGCTAGATACAAGATAGTAACATACAAATGAAGGAGGAGAGATCAGATAAGGAAGATAGACATATGTTTGATAAGAAAGAAGAAGCAAACCACAGTGGTAGTATTCGGATAAACGGGCATTACCTTGGACGAGACGACCCTGTTGTTCGGATAAAGGGGCATAACCACTTCGTCATCTCCGGGCAGAAGCTGGTTGTCCACATACACGACCCGATTCGTCTCGGGCAGGTTGTTGGTGAAAAATCTCTGCAAAAAAACATACACGAGAACACTAATTTAACACACAAGTCGTTGGCTCGAATTGCTATGCACGCTGATGCTAGTGGTAGGGCTTGGAAGACACCTTACATCAGTATTTTAAAACTTTCTTCGAAGAGGAAATAAAGTGAAATAGTCTAGTACATTTTTATTGCCAACAATATGTCATAATTGGCAATGTTACAATGTTTTTGTGTTGCTAGTTTGGGTTTTTTTAAAATGATTTGATGGGATCTAGATCTAGATCTACTAAAGATCTTCACACTCACAATACACTTGATAATAACACTAATTAAGAACATTAATTCTGTTGGTAAAATATCTAGATATAGTCTTGATTAGTACTACGATAAAGGGGACGCCGACAGTAACATGCTCATTACAATTACATTGTCATTAAACTTAAGGCCATCCACAGCAAGCAAAAAAGAACAATATAACTTATAAGCCTTTTCTCCAATTAACTAGAAAGAGATCAATAAATTGAGCTGATATTGAGGAAATGTATTATTTCTCTCTTTAAGAATTCATATATGTGTTTACATCAGTGAAATATAGTGTGTACAACATGCTTTGTTTAAAGCACGTGCGAGTCTAACAAATACAAGAGATTGGAGAATGTGTCGGTTGCACTTAAAATACATAGGCCTACTATACATGCTGCCAAAAACACAAAAAATGCAGAAAAGGCCTCAAATATAGTTTTACACATAAAAGCCAATAAAGCAAAACAAAATAAACAAGAGTGGAACTGGCATATGTTTCCTGAATATATGTTCAAAGTCATTTTTTGAGTGTTGAGAGTGTGGTTTCTAATGCATGAATGATAGGCTCATTCAGATGTGATAATGAAGGATTTCAGAGCTGTGTGCATTTTGAGAAAAATGTATCCCCCATACCTTGGATCACAAGTCGAGGGATGGGCTTGTCCCCCTGTAATCCCCGCACACAGAAAACAAACACACATTTTTGAACACGTATATAAGAAAAAATAAGTGGTCTCTTGTTACAGATCAAATTGAAGTCCTGTTACAATTCGATTGATAAAAGCGCGTATCGCAATGCATTGTCCTACCCTGCCCTATAGGCCTATAATGCTATTTAATAAATACATTCGTCAGATCTGGAATCTTTAATGCCCGCACACAGTAAACAAACACACATTAGAAAAAATAAGTGGTCTCTTGTTACGGACCAAATCGAAGTCCTGTTACAATTCAATTAATTGATAAAAGCGTGTATCGTAAGGCATCGGCTAACCCAGTACTATTACGCTATTTTATAAATACATTCGTCAGATCTGGAATCTTTAATCTTTAATTTTTAATCCCCGCACACAGTAAACAAACACACATTAATGAACATGTATATAAAAAAAAAGTGGTCTCTTGTTACGGATCAAATTGAAGTCCTGTTACAATTCAATAATCGATAATAGCGTGCATTGCAATGCTTTGGCTAACCCAGCATTATACGCTATTTAATAAATACATTCGTCAGATCTGGAATCTTAAAATGTGATCATAATTATATGTGCCTGCGCGAGGGAAGTGAAAGTGAAAGGAATTGAAAATGCTTTCAAAAACAATTATGAAAGTAACATAATTAAAGTAGGATTACATGTGCTTATAAAGGCCCAAAAGGTGTATGGATGCGGAAATTAATGTTTCGGAGGAAAATAATACGCTATCTCTACAACTGTAGCGTGCGGTCAAAAATTTGTTGCGCAACTTATTATCAAATATCTAGGCTACTGAACTATCGAACATCTAGACCCAGATCTAGATTCTCCTACTTTTGCACAATGACTTAGATCTATATCAATTCGTCTTAACAGATGAGTACTTTTTTCAAACATTTGTACACATAGTTTCTAGATCTATATTATTCTAGAAATTTCTTTAAAGAAAATTCTTTAATAAATACTAGCCCAATATTTTTAAAGTTTCTACAGATTTTAAAAAGTTTACAGCTGGAGCTAAATCTCTTTTAAAAGCAAGCCCGTCCTTTTTTTTTCTACTTCTGCTGGCGACATAAAGCTAATTATTGAACGCATGTTTTGAGACCATTAATAAGATCTAGATCTAGTTTTAAAATATGTTCAGTGTAAAAAAAAACCCAACCAAGTTTCTTGTAACAAGTTTTGCTACTAAAAGATGACGTAGACCATATGCGTATGCAAAATGTGTGTGGGAAGCTAGAATTAGTGCTGTGAACAAATCCCACCCGTGTTACGAATTTTTTCAGTTCTTTAGATCTAGATCTTATATAAACTCCGCTATGTCTGCTTTTTCTGTTGTTGCAACCAAAAAACACAACAATTCAAAACCTTAATTCCAATCGCCAGGTTGCACAGTGAATTCTGAAACTCAAAATTACAAACAGTAAATGTTTCTTTTCACTCGTTTGTAAAAGCTGCTCTTGCATTAAAAGCTATAGGGTTATTTCCGAAGACGATAAATCTTGCCCTCAAGACGCCATTGTTTTCAGTCTTCAAATCCTCACAGGTCACGTGGTACAGTGCCCGTTCTATAAGTGTAGACTTCTGTGGAGGTGTTACAAGAGAGTAACAAAAAACAAAAAAAAGAGGGAGGGGAGATAAGGACGATATATGTTTGATAGGAAAGAAGAAGCAAACCACACCAGAGCACCCGCCAACCACTAACTCAAATACATTAACATCACGAGAAAATGTAAATTGGAGACCAAACGGCACGTCATGGTGTTGGGTACCGGTTAGGTGTTTCGCTCGCACGGCAGAAAACCTCAGTTCGATTCCCGAGTAGATAGCTCGTTATCGAGTATCTCGGTCTTTCTGCTGAGATGTTGTATCCCTCTCAGCCTGCATAGACTAGTTTTTAGTATTAGTAAGAGTTTCATGGCACTTGAAACACAATTGTGTCACGTAAGTGTCGAAGATTAGAGGTGTTTCATGAGAGTAACAAACACAAAAAAGGAGGAGAGCGTCATTCAAAGAAAAAAAAGGTAATGGAAAGTTTCAAACTCCTCCCTTGTTTGTTTGTGCAAAGAGAAGATTCAAAGAAAAAAAAGGTAATGGAAAGTTTCAAACTCCTCCCTTGTTTGTTTGTGCAAAGAGAAGCACATCGACATAACATTAGCCATTGAGTGCCGGGGAAAAAGTCAGACAGACAGACAGACAGACAGACAGACAGACAGACAGACAGAAATAACGGAGGGAAAGAGTAAAGAAGTAGGACCTATCAGTGGCGCCCTCCAACCACCAGCAACCCTCGCCCTCTCTCCTTCTTAAAATAAGTAAAATTCGTCTTTCGAACATGACGTCACGGCGGCCCGAATGCGGACCTACAGAGGGTGCAGATCCCGACAGTTTGTTTGTTTGTTTAGTATAGGGTTTTACGGCGCTCGCAACTGCATAGGTCATATGAGCGCGCGGGACACACCTAATACTTTTTCGTTGGTAGGAAATTTTGAATTTTGCCCGGGTGGCGGCCGAAGCCTACTCTTATCGATTTTAGACCACCAAGGGATCTTTAACGTGCGCAACTTGCACACGGGCCCTCCGAGATTTTTCGCCCTTGTCCGAGAAGGCTAGGTGTAGATCTTTCCTACCAGAAGATCAGGGGTGTGGCAGAAAGACAGCAGTTAAGAGGAGCCAAGGAGTAGCAGTAGAAAGGCTGCAGAAAGAGTCAGGAGCCCAGAGGAGGGGGCAAAGGAGGTGAGGGGGTGGGGGCATTGCTAGAGAGCAGGAAAGGAGGTGAAAGGAGACAATTTTAGAGAAGAAAATTTTTTGGTCGCTACCCGGAATCGAACCCGGGACCTTTGAATGAGAGGCCAACACCTTAACCTCTAGGCCACGAGAGCCCCATCCCGACAGTACGAAGTAGTGGGTCAAGTAAGTTCCGAATGGGTAGCTTAAATCTTTTAATTGTTTGTTTGAGTAGAGAAAAGCACATCGACACAATAATGGTCATTTAATGCTGAAAAAAGTAAGACAGACAGAAACAACAGAAGGAAAGTAAAGAAGTAGGACCGACCAGTGGCGCCCTCCAACCACCCGCCTGCCCGTCACCGCACAAACCAGTCTCAGGGGGAATCACGTCGTGTTCCCCACACAAAGACGATAAATACCACACAAATAGACTTTTCAAGACAAAATCGAACATTTTTTCCCCAGGTGCAACACCAGTTTTACTTTTAGTAAGTGTTTTACGGCACTTGCAACACAATAAGGTCATGTAAGTACCGAAGGTTAGAGGTGTAACAAGAGAGTAAAAAACACACACAAAAAAAGGAGGAGACATAATTTTAAGGACGACAGATGTTTGATAGGAAAGAAAGAGCAAACCACACCAGAGCACCCGCCAAACACCCGCGTGCAACATCAGGCAACGTAACCCGTTAGTTAACTTAGTAAGAAATTTTTGAGGCACGTGCAACACAAACAGGTTTCATAAGTGCCGAGGATTAGAACGGTTACTACAGAGTGACAGACAAAGAAAAAGGAGACGAGAAAAAAAGGAAGATACAAGTAGATGTTTGATAAGGCAGAAGGAGCGAACCACATACAGAGCGCCCGCCAACCACCCACGTGAGTAGTTTACGGAGTTGTCACGTCAGTAGACATAATTGGTCGCTTTAAAGTAAGCACAGAGGGGCTATCCAGAAAAATGCTGTTTTGAGAAAATCGAAGGTAAAGTTTTTGCCCCTTGTTCAGTTTCTTTAAAAGACAAGGAGAGTTTTCTCTATAACCAAACAAATATACACATCAATGAAACCAAACTTGTCCTATAGGTAAGGCAATGCTCACTTTTTTGTGGGTCAAGATTTCTGGAAACCCTCGAAATGTGGGTTAGCCCGTTTGTCTTTAAAAGCGATCAATTATGTGTCACGACACGGTGGAACCAGGGGCTCACATTTTGAGCATTTGGAATTATTGGTATCCTCTTCAAGCTTTTGCGTCTTGTTTTTGGTAAAAAGAATAGAAGTCGAGACACTTGCAATTGAAA